TGATTACCAGCCATCTGTTCCACCGTTGTATGTTGGGGATATTGAGGGCAGGTAACCTGTCTCTTTAGTTCACTGGTATTCAGATTGAGAATAATATGTACTCAAGGACTAGACTTAAGGAATTACACCTGAGTCACCTTGTTCACGCCTAGATCTGACTTAAGTGATGAGATTCTGGACTTTGAGCTCACTTTGTAAAAGGATGACAATTTCCAGGGCATTGGGAAGGAGTTTGTGTGCTTTGCACGTGGGCAGGACTTGAATTATTGTGGTGCAAAGTGAATGTGGCAGCCAGCCCACAAGAAATCCTCCAGTGACTCTCACCTCAAGGTATTTATGCTCTTGTAGTCTTCCCTGCATTGACAAGGGCTGACCTGTGTCACCAGTGGGATATTGAGGAAATGACAGAACATGACTTAAGAAGCTGGGTCATAAAGCATCGCGACTTTCCTCCTGCTGTCTCTTGGATCAGTGGCTCTATCAAGCAGTCCTTTGGAAATGTCCATTTGGAAAAGAACCGAGGCTTGCTGTCAACACCAGCCATGATTTTCCAACCACATGAGCGAGCCCCCGGAAAACCTTCTGACACCTGTGGTCTGGGCTGGCATGTGGATTAATACTTGATGAGTGGTCCCCGGGTCAGGAGCACGCAGCCAAGCCCACTCCCAAATTCCTGACCTTCTGAAACTGATATCCTCTGTTTTCTTAAGCTGCTAAATTGTGGGATAATTTGTTATTCAACAATAGATAACTAATAGAGGTACCACAGTGAACTAAAAAAATCCCAAGAATCTCTGTGGATTTTTATGGCTTCCTCATCCTACCTAAGTTAGTAAATATGTGGGTACTTCAAAAAATTCATGAGAAAATGAAATTAATAGTTTATTTTGTTACAAAAATTTTGAAATCCTTGCATAGCTTTTCATAATATGCATTTCCACAAACTTTCTGAAGACACTTTATAATGCTATTCTGGTTACTAATCTCTCTAATTTTCTATCACCCTGCATACCCCTATCTATTATGACTGTTTTATAATCAATTCAGTGCTAAAGGGTAGGGCAGAAGTTGGAGAGAATGGGAAATCTTAAGTCAACTACTGTTTTTATTTCTATTCTGTCTTTATTTATAGTCATAGAAAAATTTCAAATTGAAAGGAGCTATTTCTGAATAGCTAATCCTCCGCCTATGGTGCTGGCACTCCAGGTTCTAGTCCCAGTTGGGGTGCCGGATTCTGTCTCGGTTGCTTCTCTTTCAGTCCAGCTCTCTGCTCTGGCCCGGGAGTGCAGTGGAGGATGGCCCAAGTGCTTGGGCCCTGCACCCTCATGGGAGATCAGGAGGAAGCACCTGGCTCCTGCCTTCGGATTGGCACTGCTCGCTGGCCGTGGCGACCATTTTGGGGGTGGACCAACAGAAAAGAAGACCTTTCTCTCTCTCACTGTCTAACTCTGCCTGTCAAAAATAAATAAATAAATAAATAAATGGAGCTATTACATATCTTTAGGGTTCATCATTATTATTGGTTTGTTTCTGAGAAGTCGCTTTTGGTCCTAAAAGTGCAGGTGTTGCCGATGTTTGGGGCAGGCTTTTGACATGAAGCCTTCAGTGTAAGCTGGGTCATTCAGTGCTTGTATGATGGATTGGGGCTTGGAGGGTAGGGCTTCCTTACAGAGAGACGTGTTTGCCCTTGGTAATGGGTTACAGATCCACAAACTACTCATTTCACAGATGAGGAAAACAGGATCAGAATGTTTAACCAGTCTTTCCAAAGCCACGTAATTGGTTAGTGGCAGAACAACTTGGAATCCAGGCTACCAGTCCAATTAGATAAGATTTATTTGAATTTGTCTTTTATTTGTACTCTTCTTTTTTTGCTGTTTTCAAGGCAAAATTGTTCCACTCAATGAAAGTTGAAGGCTTCTATTTTAATAATTTTGCTGGGTGTGGCATCTTTGTTTGAACAGACATGAAAATATTTGTATTCCCCTTGGGCACTTCTCTGGCTGGGTACTTTGAAATTGTAAAATATAAATTACCAATGGGCTCCAGTCCAGTATGCATAATGTAATTTACCATGATGTCAGTACAATCAATTCCTGCTGTACAGGCCTTATGTAACTTTGTTCACAAAGCTTTTCTAGTTTAAGGTTGGACATTATTGAACTATTTAAAATATATTCTTTAAGTGTTAGAGACCATATAAATAGCATCAAGTGCCTGATAATCACAATAGACAGAATTAAAAAAGAGGGAATGTCCAACATGGGAAGCAATCCACACAGCAGACTCATAGAATGACAGTCGCTTTAAGAAACACTCTGACCTCAGAATCAGCCTTTAATACATTCAGATGTGGCTGAAAAGCCCATGAGAGCAATGCAGGCATGGAAAGTGACGACACTGTGGCAAAAATATCCTACATGAAAGATCTCTGTGAATGAAATCCCAGTGGAAAGAAGGGGCCATCACAAAGAAGGATATACTTTTCTCTGAAGGGAGGAGAGAACTCCCACTTTGCTTTATGGCCTTGTTTAAATACTGATGGAGTTTGTGGTCACAAAAGGCTTTCATAGCTTTGGCAGCTCATGGCAAGAGGCTCAGGTGATCACTGGGGTCATAAATAAGAGTATCAGTCGTTAAATCAACCACAGGAGGCACTGTGTCCTTACTCTCCATGTAGGACCTCAGTCCTTAATGAGGTGTACAATGAGAATTAACTGCAAAACTTGTTCTCAAACAGTACTTTTTACATTGTCTGGGCGTATGTGTGCAAATGTTGAAATTTTTACTTAGTGTAGAGTTGGTCTTCTGTATATAAAATTAATTAAAAATGAATCTTAAAAAAGAATGGGATGGGAGAGGGAGTAGGAGGTGGGACTAGAGTGGGGGAAGTAGTGTGGGTATGGAGGGAAAAACCACTATATTCCTAAATTCCGATGAAAATTGTATTAATTAAGTAGAAGCTTTGTAAAAAAAGATACTCTTTTTGGTTAAAATATGGGCTTTAAGACTAAAATCATTATTTATATTATTTTTTCTTGTACTTTGTCTCTGATTAAGTATAGTCACTTTAGATTGTAAGAGGTTTCTCTGTGCATACTTGGATGGGTTTTGAGAAGTATGGCTTTATTTCTCTGTCCTTATCAACCTGCACATATTTGTTAACCAGATGAATGCTATTTAATTGTATAAAATATGTGAAGAATTGTTTTGACTGCCAGTTTAGTAAGTTTACCTTTAGTTTAAAGTGTTACAAAGTACTAAAACAAACATAAAGAATGAAATTGAACTGGTGGGAAATTTCTAATGGCCTATATTTCTTCTTCTTCTTCTTCTTCTTTTTTTTTTTTTTTTTTTTTTGATAGATTTGCCGACTAGAATTTTTGGTATTGGCTCACCAAACCATTTGTTCTGTGTATCTCATATGGTCAGTTTAGAACCATTAATTAGTTTCATCTGGCAGTTACAGTTAATATCATCTTTAGAAATTGTGAGTTTCACAAAAAAAATTGTGTTTTTGTGTCTCTTGGAATTTTGCCAGTAAATTACTTGTGCCTTTTCCAGGTGAAATCATATTAAAGCTAGACGCCTCTTCGTTGGGCTCCTCAACTTTGGACTTACAAATCTCTTTACTCTTGGACTTCTTATTTCAGATGTTTCATGGGTTTGAGTCAATAGCTAGGTACTTGTGCTGCCTCTGACTGATAGCACCTTCCTCCTCCCAGCCTGGCACCGTGCTGTCTTCTCAATCTCCCTTCACTCCCTGGCAATCAGAGTTGCTTTTCTCCTGCTCTTTCCCGGAATCCCCTCATTCTCCAAGAGCCTAAGCTGTGGAACTGAGCCTCTTCCTTCTCTTTTTAATCGTTCCCACCCACTTTTCCATTTCGCCCTGACTTTCTTCCTTCCCATTGTAGGAGAAGAGTAGTTGGCCTTGGTGCAAGTGGCAGGATGCCTTCCGGGCTGGGGGAGGCTCTCTATGGCTGACACAGGCACCTGCTGTTACCAGTGTGCTTAAGGGAGCAGTGTGTATGGAGAGGGCACTCACTGAGCAGGGAGCTCTGACGAAGGGAAGGGAGGAAGCCTGCCTTGGTTCATCACAAACTCAGCCCCTTCAAATGTTTTCTTTAGGAGTAGTAACTGTAATGCCTAACCTCATTCTGGTAACTGAGTGTGCGCCTGTGTTTGAAATGCAGCTGGCTATAAATAGAATATCATGGTTCAGGTTTGTACAGCAGTTTACATTGATGAAAAGTGCTGGTTTGTGAATGGAGAATTTCGGTTTTGAAATCGGATATGCGGGCAGCCTTGGGAGGTGGGGGATAGCTTTTCAGTTTTTGGAGGCAGCTCCTGTGGCAGGTGCAGGGAGTGAGTAACGTGCCACTCCTGAACGCGGTGATTTAGCCAATGAACACTGGGCTTGGTCCTGTGGTATGGTTCCCCTGTCTGTCAAGAGCTGGCTCAGCAACCAAGCCCAGATTCCAGGTGTGGTATTCCACAGTCGTGCTGTAATTTGTAATCATAGAAACAGAATGTGCCTCCTCTGATTCCTTCCCTGCCAACAGTTTCTGGGTGGGTGAATGTCAGTAGCCGGAGTTATTTTTAAAGAGGAGAGGTGAAGCTTGTCGTGCGAAGCTGGGAAGAGGGCGTTTGTTTGCAGAGCAGAGCTGACATCAAAGTGTAGATTGCTGCTCAGTGGCTAGGCACTTGTCCTGTAACAGGTAATGTTTAACGTGCCAGTCACAAAGATCACAGAAACGGCGTTCCCCGGGCATAAGATAGCAGCACCGTTTGTGGTCTGGAAGGCTGAAAGACCTTATATGCTCCGGTGGTTTTTTTTTTTTAAGCTTTTCAAGTATATGCATATATAAGTCTTGGTTTTGCTACCTCCTCTTTTCCTGGCTGTGATTGGACTTTGGAGCTTGGAAGTTATATCATAAAAAATTTGTAACCTTTGTGTGAGAGAGCTCGGCTAAGCAGTCACTTTCCGAATCTTTTCACAGGATAACATCAACGTTTTTTTGAAAGCTTGTGAACAGCTTGGATTGAAAGAAGCCCAGCTTTTCCATCCTGGGGATCTGCAGGATTTATCAAATCGAGTCACTGTCAAGTAAGTTGCCCTGGTTTGCTGTGTATTTTTAAACTTGTGGCTTGTAGCTTGAATGAAGGGAGTTGCTGAGAGTTCTTGACTACAGATAGATCACTCTTTTCTGTGTCTTTCTGTGCTCCAAAATAGACTGAAAAATGGCTTAGCGATTGTGAACGTGAAGCCGTCTGTAAGGAACGACTTGCCAGGGTCTTACTGTAAGTGTCTGTGTGACAGACATGGTAGTTTATATTTTAATGCTTGACTAACGTGGCAGTGTTTGATTACTAATGGTGAGGCTACTCATTATCCGTACAAAGTGAATTTAGAGATAATTTTAAATTTGCAGAGTATGAATTGTTTTAGAATAGCTTTTTGTACATCTGGAATTAAGACATACTTGCTAATGTAAGAATTAGGGTATTGCCTTGGTCAGAAAGGTGTTCTGAATATTTGGAAGGGAGTGACAACCTGGACAAAAGGTGTAATGCCAGTGACCTCGTCAGTTACGGCTGATTTTCAAAAATGAACCGTTTCCCACTATTTTAACAGCACAGGACAGATGAGAAAGTGAAAGTAGGTATGAAAACATGGACACAGGTGTACCGTTGGATTTTAGTGGAAAATGGTGCTCATGTGTGAGTACGTGGTTTCAGGAAATGTGGTTTTATTTAAGCTTTTGTGAGATTCTGCCCCCCACCTCACCCCATACATCTGATTTGCTCCCAGAGAGTCCGTAATAAACTCATGAATGTGATTGGAAAACTATATAATTTTCTAATAATGGCAGCTTCCTTATCATGATGGCTCTCAACTCTAGTTAGGATTTTTCCAAGGGAGCATATAAAAACCCTTATTTCATCTCTAGAAATAATGGAACTGGAAGTAGCAATTTCTGCGAGTTCAAAGACTTATTATTTATATCATTAGTGTTCCAATTAAGCTGCCTTTCATAGCTTTAAAAAATAACTATGAAATATTAACGGTGGCCTTTTTGTCAAGAAAAATAATCGTCTATTCATAAATATCTTTGACGTGTAGAATGTCTTCTTGCAGCACAGCCTAAAAAACCCAGGTAGAATTAGTCCTGAGCAATCTAACAATATATGTTTTTCACTGAGCGAACAATTTTGAACCTGTCTGCTTCTGGTTCTGTTGAACATACTTCGCTAAACTCATCAGTGATAGGTGGCTGCCGCCATGAGTCTGTCTGCATTTCTGATTAATTGAAAGACAGTGGAGAGACTCTGAGGTTTATGGCCACAATGAAATGTTTGCTTTTGCAGTGTTTAAGGTCATGTTTTAATTTACTTGAAAAATAAATATTTGGACGTGTTTGTCTTATTTTTCCTAATCAACAAATGCTTAAGACTTATCTGATGGGCATAAACTTTAGACCTTGAGAATTGGCTTTTTCTTAAGTTGCTAATGTCTATTGGGGTACACGCACTTCCCTCTAAAGTTGTGCTGTTTTGAAACTGTAGCCTGTATTTGAGTAGGCTATGGATTAAGCAAAATGCGTGTGTTCACTCAATCCAAGGGTGCTAGGACAAAGTTTGCCACGAGACATTGGTCAAAAGTGCTTAAGAAAAATTAGTATCTCGGCTCAGCCGTCAGGGAAATGAAATTCCTGACGGACTGAAACTGGGCGGTCACGCGGTTAGGGCTGCAGTAGGAAGTATGCAGAGCAGCTTGTTTCAGGGGAGACGGCAAGTCTGTCAAAGCAAGGTGTGCCTAAGTAAGGCTGGCGAGAATGCCCGCGTGGAGACCTTGACTTTGCTAAAGAACACCTCCCCTGAGAATTCTGTCTTGTTGGGCCAAAGAACAAAGGCTTCAACCCTGGGTCTACCTCAGTGGGAAGCCCTGAACTCCCCTGGTGACTCACAAGGAAGCTGGCTAATGACTGCTTTAAAATGTTAGTGAATCTCTTTTTCCCTAAGGTAGTGTTGGTCAGGAAAGGAAAGCAAGTAATCGTTTACTAAATAGTAACGCATTTCTGAGTTGTTAGTTTTTGTTCTTCCATAATGTGGAGGGTCCTGGAGGTCAGAGATCTTGTCTGAAGGAACTAGTGTCACTTAGGTTAGTGCTTCTTAACTGGGGCCAGTTTTGCCTTCCCAGAGGCATTTGGCCAAGTTCAGGGACACTTCTGTCCTGGTTGGAGTTGGGGGCTGCTACAGGCCTCTAGTGAGTCAGGATGATGCTGAATATCCCATAATGCACAGGACAGCCCCTCTCTCCTCACCCTTGAGAATTTTCCTGCTCCAAGTATTTATAGTGCTGGGTTTTGGAAACACTGGCATAGATTTCGAATTCCTTACTCACTCCCTTTCTGCCAGTGAAATAGTCATGTGGAAATGAAGGGTACTGACTGTGACAGACTTTGACGTGTGTAAAGTGTAACCGTTTACTTATGTAACAGGGTACCCATTTCCTTGTTAACCTGTTTGTCTGTCTCAATAGGAAGACTTATTGTAACTTGTGCTGTAATGTGAGTAGCTTGAGAGTATTTTGCTCATCTGTGTAGAATGAATTTAGCAAACAGTGTGGCAAGTTATTTGGTTATTTTACATAGTCTGTTGTAACTCAGCTGCTCGGACCGATGGATCTAACAGTGGGGAGAGCTGTGGTTGGCTGTGTTGTGAGCACAATCTGAGCAGGATGTACTGAGAGCAGATAAGAAAGGACAGCTGATACCCTCCTCCATGCTGGCGAATGTGGGGGGGGGGTTAGCGGTTAGCAATGACATATTCATAGTTGGCACATGGCATTGGGAAAGTTGTGTGTGGCGAATGAGTGGCAGAAGCAGTGTCAGTTCAAGAGCTGTTACTGTTAAATAATTTCAGTCATTTGGAATCAAAGTACAATAGTCTCCCCAATAGTTTTCTACCGATTTGAGATTTACATTTAATTTGCAATAAAAAAATTGTCACTACACAAACAGAACTATAGTACTCCTTATCTTTCTGTAATTATATTAATATGTGATCTAATTTTCTGACTGAATTACTTTGCAGAAATTAGTAGTTTGAATTTTTCCAAGTGTGTTGGAATTGGAATTATTCCATTTATTTGGAGATCATATATGTGTGTTCAAAATCAATTGACGGTTTTAATTTTGATATCCTTGATTTCATGGGTAGGATCTATCTTTATTTTCTCCCAGGAGAGTAATAAGCAAATTTATGACTTAGTTTCCATGAGTGTGGTAGATTAAGGCTTCCCTGATCTGAGCCCATGACCCTGAAGTTGCATTACTATTAACTGATGATCAGATGTCAACGTTGAACTTAGAAATGCATGGGATCTGCTGAGAGGAGGTGATGTGACTCCCACAGAGCTGTTCTAGGCACACCTATAACAAAAGGCCTGGAGGAGTACAACACAGTGGCCATGCCAACAGACCACTGCACACTGGAGAGCACCAGTAGCAGGTGGCATGGTTCTTCAGTGGAATGTGGACATCAAGAGGCGCAGAGTAATTGTTTGTAGTACAGAGCGAGTCAACAGAGTAGCCCCGGGAGTACTCTATTGGAGGAGTTGGAGTTGGCAGAAAGATGGGGTTCAACAAAAAGGTTTTAATTTCCTATCTCTAGCGATTTGACTCAGAAAATAATGCTCTAATCAATTTACATATCAAAATTTTTAAGCTGAGGATTTGAACAGATTGTAAACATGTTTCTTCTCTCCACCCCCTTACCATTCCAATCCAGCTTTTAGCACTTCTTCAGATACATTCTGTTCATAATATAATTACAGGATGGCAGTTCTTTTGAACATAGTACTCCAGTCAAACAAAGAAGTTATTTTCTGGTATAAACTTAATCATTATTTGCAGTATTCATATATTAGGTGTGAAATGTAATTTTAGACATTGCCATTGTTTGAGTTCTTTTTATAAATCTATCAGAGTGAGGATATAGAAATCAAATCTTATTTTTACACATGCTAGTTGTCCAGGGAACAATAATTAGAAGCCAAATTAGTGTTAATGTATTTCTATCATGAAAATAAATGAGGCTCAAATCAATGTTTTAAGGATTTATCTGATCTCTGAAGCTTCAAAAAAGTGCTCAATTTTTGTGGCAATACTGTGAAGTCATTTTTTTCAGAATCAAGTTCCCAGATGGTGCCTGTTTTTTATCAGTCTGCCAAATTGTGCTTGAGGTACTTGGTGTGTGTGTGTGTGTGTGTGTGTGTGTGTGTGTATTTAAGGTTTACTCATATAAGTAGAAATGTACCTACTTTGCATTATTCCACCCTTTTCTGATCTAAACCTGGTTTTTCATTTTTTGCAAGTACATGTCTTTCAAGTGAGTTGTACAACATCTTAATCTTTTTATAACAAGCTTAATGATTTCTAAACTTGGATCTGTAACTTGAGCTTGGTGTCTTCCACCTGTCACTCATGTTACTATTTTAAAGCATTCCTTTTCTACTGATGCATTAGAATAAGACAGAGGAAATTTTTGCATTAACTCTATCCTTACTGTATTCAGCCATTCTGTGCCGTGAGGTACTTATCTAGAGGGGGACAGTAATTCCTCCAGATTGCTCACACACTGACCAGCAGCAGAAATGTCTGGCCCAGTTCATAAATGCTTTTAGTCGCAAAGTTTGAGTCCCTGTGAGTCCGAGCTGCAGAGAAGGATTGTGGGATAGGAGGCGGGTCTCATATTGGAAGAAGTGATAAAACAGTTAAAGTTTTATCTGAATCTGTTTCTTTCTGTTTCTAGTGATTAATTTCTTCCTCAGGTACAGGAGTTTCTGCCTGCTAACTGCTTCCTTAGCTTTCCACACCCTCAAATATAAAAAAGGCCCCGGGGGGAGTCTACAGCTTCTCTCTTGGCCTGCTGGATGTGGCTTCATGTTGTGGACTTCTCTAACCACAATTTTTATCTCCAGAAGTAAGCTGAACTCTTTATTTTTGTAGAACCCTTCTTGATGGCACATTTAAAGCATTTATTTTATAACAAGGCCCTTCAAAGGGTTAAGTCAAAGACACCAACATCTTTTTCAAAGAGGTC